TAGCATTAGATACATCTGCTATCTCCTCTGCTTTAATAGTAGAGGAACTTGCCTTCACTGTTTGGGATAATGACATCATAGTATCTTCAGGTTTAGGAATGAGTTCTATGACAGAAATTATCATACCCGCATTTCGGAGAAAATCAACCATCCTCCAACCAAATAAGCGCTGAGAACGGAATTTTTCTAACATATAGGCCACCCACAATCGAACAGTCGGTACATTCTTATTCCGGATGATAGAATCTATATCTGGAAATATTCCTCTATTCTGAAGTTCTCGGGGGAGACATTCGCGTTTGGCATTCAGTAACCATTGAAATAATCCTTTTTCTGTGATAGGAACATTAGATGATCTTTGCTCAATACAACACACATAATCCTTAATACACCGCATGCGAAATAACATCTGATTTGTTCCAGCATTTGTTTCTATATAACTGTTAAAGATGCAGAACGCTCGTTCGAACTTGGGATTAATGCAAGATACTCCTATTTTTAGAGTGCTAGTATAAGCAACTAGGTCTACATCTTTCCATGATTCTTCTACGTTGCTGAAGTCATGAGCCTTTTTCACTGGATCAGACTTGCCATGGTATTCCTTGATCCGTAATTCTGGAAAATCAGTCTTAAGGGCGCGAATAATTCCTTGCACATCTTTTCTAAGATGGCAAATAAGTGACACACTTGTTCTATTCTCAAAAGGTAATGAAGACATATGCTTGGCCCAGTCCCAAAGTTCAGTTAATATTGTTTCTTTATTAGGGGCTAGGCGGAATGTCTTACCTTTCTGAGGCTGGTAAGTATTGTGGATAATAGAGAGAGGTATATCTTTACGAAGGGTCTTAATCCATTCAATGTTGAGGTTAGTTAAATCATTATCCATTACAATGATGCGCCTAGCCTCTTGGATCAATTTATATAACTTCTCTATCGATTGACCCACCAAACGACTTTGTGCTTGAGCAATTATAGATACTATTTCATCAAGCCACAAATCGTATTGGATTGGAGGACATTTGCATTTTTTATTATATTTACAATTATTGGTAATACGATGTAAGCTTTCTATCTGGCATACTACCCTTTTATGATCAGATAGATTTATATTACCATCGATATCACAATATGATTTGAGATTGAGTCTTGTAGTAACAGCATTCGAGTAAGAGTGGCGCGTGGATAATACTAGCAAATTCATGTCATCAGATATAATAAGATGCTCTAGAACATATGTTTTTCCCGTCTCCCAAGGCGATCCTATATAGATATCACCTTCATTGGGTAATGGTCTTACATATCTCTGCTCATATATTTCTGTTGCTAAAAGGGACTCATTATACTTGACCCAAGATGGGAAATTTACGAAGGCTTTAGGGAAGCCCGGAACCTTGATCTTGTGAGAGGATTGCAGAGATTTTTTATTTTCTTGCTGAATTTTTTCTGCAATAGATGGGTCACATTCAAAAATTTCCCCATGCTCATAACTATTCTGCCGAAAACATTTTACTATAAATTCACCACTAGCGTATACACGGCCGAACCACCTCTGATCCTTGTCATGTATACGTTTGCAGAGTGGACATTCTAGTGGAACTTTTCGGTTAAAATATATGAAGTTTTCTTTCGTCTCTTCCTTTTCTTCGATAGTCCAATCCCTAAGATAGTTAGAATACTTTTGCAAACTAGATTTGCGAATTTCTGTAATACATCCTGACCTACAGATATTCTTAGCGGATTATTATTTTTTTCTGTACTAAGCATTCAAGGTCTTACTTCAAGCCCTAAGCTAGTAGGTGGTTGAACTTTAGCGTGATCAAGTTCATTCCACCCATTATCTAGTGAGAATTGAAGAATTTTCTTTATACGACCTTTTTTTGCTGAACCAATAAGGCGAAGGTTAAAGTTATGACCAGGTAATTTCTGATCAATAAACTTGCCAAATTTTTCTCCAGTTAAGGTATATACTAATTCTGTGAATGCTTTGAGTTCATGATGATCAATAAGAAGAGCCGATGCATATAAAATATGATAACTGCATTTACTAGGATCTGAAGATGTAGCAATTACTAATCCTTTGAGAATATCTTTCCAACCACAGTCAAGAATTCGATACAAAGCTCTTATGAAAGAGCAACAGATTCGAATAAATACTTCCTGTCCCTTAATACTAGCTGTTTCCATATCTTCTTTTGATGCATCGATATCAATCACAGCTCTTAAAGGCTTTTGACCATTAATGCATTCATGAATTCCGGGCAAACCATATACTTCAGAAATGTCATTGGCAACAGAAAATTTGGGAGCATGATCACCATCTTGGTTGATTTTGATAACTAATTTATCCTCTACCTCACTTCGGTCATAAGCGTTATATAAGCTAGAGCCTTTTTCATTCGGAAAGAGAAATGAATAAATTGGAAGACATTCCAATGATCCTTTATCATTCGACATATCTCTAGATGGTGATAAGGCA